ATAAGGCCTTCAAAAGGAATTGTTTAGGCTATAAATAATGAGTTATATATGAAAAGAAAGGATGGTTCTGATACAGATTCTGTACAGATGGTCCCTGACTTAACACTGGTTTCACTTACAGTTTTTCGACTTTACAATAGTGTTAAAGCAATTCACATGCAGTAAAAACTATACTTCAAATCCTGAATTTTGATCTTTTCCTGGGCTAGCAATATGCAGTACCGTACTCTCCCATGATGCTGGGCAGCATCAGTGAGCCACAGCTCCCAGCCAGGCACGGAGTCATGAGGGTAAACAACTGACACTCTACAGTGTACTGTGTTACCAGCATTTTTTTGGATATTGTGTTCTGAGCAAGTTTAAGTCATTCTAGGCTAAACTATGATGTTCAGTAGGTTAAGTGTATTAAATGCATATTCAGCTCAATGATATTTTCGGCTGAGATGGGGTTATCAGGATATAATCTCATCCTAAGTTGAGGAGCATGTATATTCAAAATAAGAAATTTCAGGCAGTAAGACAAGGCATTTGGATCATTGAGCCTCACTTTTTGAGCACATATGAACTACCCTTTGCTGTAGTAGAATGTGTATTGAAATCATCCATTTTCCCAACCAAAGCAGGAGTCTTGATTTTAAATTAAAATCTTATAAAAGTTGGAACCACTTACAAAAATTTCTATGAATATAGATACTCACTTTATTCTTAAACCTGAGACAATTTAGTCCAATGTTTCTCAGACTTTCAAAAGTAGCAGAACCTGTTTTCCAAACCAACGCTTATACAGAAGCCTAGATAATAAAATTAAGAAGAGGAGGTGTTTTCATTGACTCAGAAATGGCAGTAGGAATCAGCCTTTCTCTGAGACACCTCTGGGAACCTGTAGGTATGCTATTGAGAAACATTGATGTAGTTGATTTAAATTACAATTTAAGGAATTTGTTTTCCAGTTCACTATTTTTGGACTTTTCTGCATTTATTATATAAAATATAATTGCAGAATGTATAGGTAGAAATTTGTTTAAAATATATTAAGTAGCTTTTCTTAGCCACTCACATTTAATACATTATAGATCAAGAAAGATCACCAAAAGTGAAGATGTGTCGTTAGAAACCAAGGCTAAGATCATTTATACCCTCATATTCCCAGTTACTATGCATGGATGCAAAAGTTGGCCAGTGGAGAAGGCTGATAGAAAAAAAAAAAAAAAAGAGTGATTCATAGGAAATATGGAGTTAGAGGAGAGCTCTACGGATAATACCCTGGACCACCAGAAAGACAAACAAGAAAGTCCTAGAACAAATTAAACCCAAAACACCACTGGAAACAAAAATGACGAAACTGAAGCTGTCCTACTCTGGGCTCACCATGAAAAGGCAGGGATTTAAGGAAAAGACAGGGGAAAATAGAAAACATCAGGAAAAGAGGAAGACCAAATATGAGATGGATTGACTGCATAAAAGGAAGCCATAGGTGTGAATCTAAAGGAGCTGAGCAGGGCTGCTGAGGACAGGACATTGTGGACATCGCTCATTCATAGGGTCTCCAGGAGTCTGAGCCAACTGGATGGCACATTAACACACAGTCCAAGTTTCGTCCAAGTTCCAGAATAGGACTTGTCTCAGCATAGAGTGAGTGTTCAGTAAATGTTAAATAAGTGAATTATTACAAGCAGTAATCTAGTTCTGCCTGAGCATTTATAACGATTCATTACAAAATTATTCTTTTTGACTAGCTCTGATTGACAGACATAAATTAATATGGAAACAAAAAATACTTCTCTTCATGTTTTACCTATTTCTTGTTAGTTGTAGTCTTGGGTTATTCGGGTAAAATTTGGTTCTTCCTTAGGACTATCAAGTATTTAAAAAGTGCTGTTATCTCTTTCCTTTTTTTCTTTTTTTTTTAATCTTCACTTGAGAACATGCTTTTTGATTTTAAATAGAAGGGAAAAGAGGGGGAAAGAAGTAAGGGAGGGAAACATCGTTGTGAGAAAGAAATGTCAATCAGTTGCCTCTTGCATGTGCCCCAACTGGGAACCGGATCCGCAACCCGGGCATGTTCCCTAACCAGGGATCAAACCCACAGCCTTTCAGTTTACAGGACAACACTCCAACCAGCTGAGCCACACTGGCCAGGGCATTGGCCACCCCCTGCTCCTTGTCCTACCCACTGTCACCCACACATCTGAGGAGGGACCCAAAAAATGGAATTTCTGTATTAAAAATCGTGTATTTAATCTTATATATTTCAACCTAAGTCACCCTGAAAGTACTCTCCATTTGATACATGTCACCTATCAAGATGTTTTGTCCATTGTTCAAAATAGTATTTGAACTCATTGATTTTGTTGCGTTTTAGTGCTTCTGTCATTTTTTGTTTCACCTCTTCTACATCAGCAAAATGTTTCCCTTTGAGGACTTTTTACATCCAGGGGAAACAAAAGCTCAGGGCGGGGGGCGGGGGCGGGGCGGGGAAGATCAGGTGAGTAGGAAGGGTGGGATGCAGGGGTGATCCTGTTTTTGGTAAAAAAAACTGCTGAACACTCAGCAGGGTGTGGACAGGTGCGCTTGTAAATCACCCAGCATGAAATGGACAAACACGTTGAAAGAGTCTTCCAAAACAATTCACTGAAGCTGAGCGCAGCCTCTCACATGGATACCAGCTAGTGCACTGATACAGGTGGGTTCCTAGAATACTCACCTAGTGGGGAAGCCTATATTACAAGGGGCCCGCTCTCCAGAAGATATTTTCTGGGTTTTTTTGGGTCCCCCCTTTAACAATCTTTTTCTCCCTACTAAACAACTTCTGTTCTTTCAGCTGTCATGTATTCTAGCTTTTCAATCATCTTCATTACCTTCTTACTGACACATTTTTAGTTTATCAAGGTTACTCTTAAAATCTTGGCTTGACTAAAAAAGTCCATTTAGTTTTTTCCATAAAATAAGAGACACATTTTTCATTTTCACCAATAGCTGCATTGATTTGGATATTTTGAGTATGTCGACTGTCTCCCACGTGGTATAACATTGATTGTTCTCATTTAATACCTTGATTTGATCAGTATCAACTTCAACTGGTCTACCTGACCACAGAGCATATGTCCAGTGAGAAATCTCCAGCATGAAACTTCGCAAACCACCTGTGACACTTTTGATTAGCAATAGCATCTTCTCCATGCACTGTACAAATCTTTTTTGTGTGTTTCAGTTGCATTTTTACCTTTCTTGAAATAATAAAGCATATAGAAAATGTTGCTTATTTTCTTCCATCTTCAATATTAAAATGCTTACACAAAAAAATCACCAATTTTGATAATTTTTTTAAATGCACACTGACATGACAGCTGTCACAATACAATCTAACAAAATTGTTTCAAATAAAGTTAAAGACAAATAAGCACTACTAGAGCCATCTTACAGAAAAAACAAATGAACTTTTTGGCCAACCCAATATGATACTTCTACTGATACCTAGGACCTGCAGTATTTAATAGTAGGCAGACCAAAACATAGGGTATCTAGGATCTAGATTTAGGTCTGCGTGGTACCTAATATGTACCTAATTAGGTACCATTTAGGTACTTAATATGGACTAGAACCTCTCTTAAACAGGTGTTAATACTAGCAAAGCTATATAGGTTACTCTTAAACCACGTGGGTTTGAACTACAGAGGTTCACTTTTACATGAATTTTTTAAAAATAAATATGTACAGTACTGTAAATGTATTTCCTCTTATGATTTCCTTAATATTTTCTTTAGCTTACTTTGTAAGAAAATACTACATAATGCATGTAACATACAAAATATGTGTTAATTGATTGATTGTTACCAGTAAGGATTTCAGACAACAGCAGGCTATTAGCATTAAGTTTTGGGGGAGTCAAAAGTTATACGTGGATTTTTGACTGTGTAGGGGAAGCAGGGGTCGGGCTCCCTAACCCCTACATTGTTCAAAGGTCAGCTCTATTTCTTTAAACACCGTTCAGTAGTGCAGATTTTTTAGTTAAATGAATAGTCATTACTAATTGTTTGATCTTAGTTACATAACTACTGTTAACCTGTTTCTTAGTCTGTAAAGTACAAATAATAATAGTGCTTATAGCACAGAGTTTGGAAGATGGAGGTAATGCGTGCAAAGTGTTATTACAATTCCCGGTCAATGATATGCATTCTATAAATGCTAATTACCATTATTAGTTATTATCGTAATTAATCTGAGTACTAGAATTGAAATCAAAAGGTCTACCACATGAAAAAACCTTTTTTTACTGGATTTATTTATTCATTCATTCATCAAACAATTTACTAAATGCTTGTTATATACCAGGCACTGTGATGGGTAGGCCTTATATTTCTTATCCATAAAAATAGGGGCCAATAATAAGTAACAATTTTATCTCCATGGTATTATTATCAGGATTAAATGAGTGTTTTTATATGTACCTGAGTTGTATTATAATTGTTTGCTAACTAGATTGATTTCCCAAAGAAGAAGGCATTATGTTATAGTCATTCTGTTGTTTCCCAGTACTGCAGCAAGAACAATGGATCATGCAAATCATCATGGGATAAATTACAGGTTTAGAAACATGTACAAATTGGACACTTTTCAACATAACCATGCTGAATAATCAAACTTAATGAAATGCTTTTCAGATTGTAAAGGGATGTATAAACCTAAGATCATTAACTTCATAGTCATGGAAATAGACAATGTGGTGGTTTTCAGACTCTGTTTCAGAGAGGCCAGTATTCCAGAGATGCTTCAAGAATGGCTGTAGTAAGACACACACACACAAAGGGGAGGTAGATATTCCAAACCGTCTCCCAGTACAGTTCAATTAGAACAACCCCATTTATTTTACTTATTTTGCTACTATAAAACAGGTTTGAAAATAAGTGTTCATTTTGTGCATGTTTCTAAGCCATTGTACTTTATCCTGGGACGATCCTTTGTCTTTTGTGATACTGACTCTTCCCTTCTCCATTTGACAGACAGATGTACTGGTCCTGAGCTGTGATCTAATAACAGACGTTGCCTTACACGAGGTTGTGGACCTGTTCAGAGCTCATGATGCATCCCTCGCCATGTTAATGAGAAAAGGTCAAGATGGCTTAGAAGCAGTTCCAGGTCAAAAGGGGAAAAAAAAAGCAGGTAAGGAAACAGCAATTTGATTCGTTTGGATTTTTATAATTATTATTGTCATTCACACTTTCTCTTATGAAACATTTATTGAAAGCTGATGGCAGTGCAGGCACTGCTAGCGGTGGATGACATGAAGTCCAATACGACACAGTTGCTGACTTGAAGAGGTTTATAACTATTGATTAGATTCTGCAAGGTCCAAGAGGCTTTTGTATGCAGAGCAGAGTACTCAAAACTGCATTGTATTTAAGGCTCAAAGACATGTATTCCTAAGAAACAAAAAATTTAATTTAAAATTGAATTTTTTTAAATAGTTAAAGCCTGATTGCAAATTTAATTAGATACCTTTAATGGTTAAAATTACTATTACAAATTGGTATGGTTGATTCTTTTGAATGGTCTAAATAAACAAGATAGTCATTGGCCATACTTTGTCTTCTTAGTACAACATACTTATATTTATATTTCCCTAAGATTATAGTAGTAAGTTAATCTTTTTTTTAATCCTCAGAGAGTAATAGTAATCCTAACAGACTGAAAAGAAGTGGAATAATATTCTAGACTATTCATAGAATTTGAGTTGTTGACAAGTTATTGATTTTATTAAAGCATAGTGTCTGATTGCTTTTCCCAGAATATTTCAAACCTGAGCCACTGATTCTGTGACTGGGTTACTTTTAAAAACTGGCCAAAAATCTTTGTCAGATCCCACTTTTTGTGTATATAGGTTTTAGTTTTCCCTGGATTGATATGTTTTTACCCTGGAGTTTTTCCCTGGAATGATGAGTTTAGATTTTGTTTAACCAGCATTATGTAACCCATTGTCCTGTCATTAGTACATATTGATATAGTCTCTTACAATCACTAGAAGCTATGTATGGCGAATTATTACCCTACTATTAATAGAGCCACCTAGAGCTTTCATTTCTAGGATTTGAGTAATTAGTCTGTATTTTTAGCTCTCTCCTTTAGAGCATTTTGTTAACTTCCTATTTTGGAAGCATTACAACATTCCTATTACAGCATTAAAACTTCTTTCTAGTCGCTTTTTGTGATCACTGGTGCAGATTAATTGTTGGTTCCTCTTTTTACCTTATTATTATGTATAATCCTCATGTCAGTCATTCTTTTTGTTCTTGATATATTTTCTACTTTTGCAAAGTCTGGCTTGCGTACTCATAATTCCCTGTATTCAGCCTTTTGGACTTAGATAGAAACAACTGTATATCCAGACTTTATCAACAGATTTTAGAAATATAAATTTTTATGTACTTCTCTATTTATAATAATTTAAAAATCAAATACCCTGCTATAGTTACTCTTATTGGTATTAGAATATTTTAGAACATTTCACGTTAGCTTTTTTCTCTTAAGTATTATTATAAATGCATAGATTCTTACAATTTTGTTTTACATGAACTGTAACTAATATCTGTCTGCCCATCCATTTAAAAATGCTTTGATCCTTAAGTTTTCACAGTTTGGCCAGTGGAAGTTCCTTTAAGCTGGTTTTTCTATGCTGTTTGAAAAAGTGTGATGTAGCCCTGGCTGGAATGGCTCAGTGGGCTGAGCACCAGCCTGGGAGCTGGAAGGTTGCAGGTTCTATTCCTCCTGGTCAGGGCACACACCTGGATGCTGGCCGGGTCTCCAGATGGGGGCATGCCAGAGGCTCATCGATCGATGTTTCTCTCCCTCTCTTTCTCCCTCCCTTCCCATCTTTCTAAAAATAAACAAACAAAATATTTGAAAATAAAAAATGTGATGTATATATTGGTAACTTGCTTTTTAGCTGGAATGTGAACATGTAAGTCAGGGAAGCAGGAAATGAAAGCAGAGAGGAAAGAGGAATCATACTAAAGAGTTTGAACTTCATCCCCCAAACAGTGAAGAGTGATTGAGGAATTGTACACAAGAGAATATCATAATTAGATTTGTGTTTAAAAAGATTTTCTTAGCCCTAACCGGTGTGGCTTAGTTGGTTGGTCGTCATCCCGCAAGGTGAGAGGTTGCCAGTTAGATTCCCTGGCGCACATGCCTGGGTTGTGGGTTCAGTCCCTGGTTGGGGCACATGTGAGAGGCAACTGATCAATATTTCTCTCCTTCTCTGTCTCCCTCCCTTCCCCTTTCTAAAAATAAATAAATAAATAAATAAATAAATAAATAAATAAATATTTCTTAAAAAAGCCTTTTCATTCTTAATATGAAATTTTGAACTTCTCATTTTCTGTATTTTATTATATTTAAAGACAGGCTCGCCTAAATATCTGAGTTTTGAATTCCCCCCATGGATACTATGCATTTTAGTGATAAGCATTTTTTAAAAGAATCCTAAGTTTTTCAGACTGTGTATTTGGTCTGCTTCTTGGCTGCTACTGTGTGCCACAATAGCCAGCAGTCCCCTCTTTCCCATATTTTATTTAATAGCCTAGATCCCCTAGGTCCAAGTTTTTCGAATCACGGTTCACTGACTTACAGGGGAATGGTTATAGCTTGATGTTTCAGGAGCATCTCTCTCCCCCTTGCCACTTTCTCGTCAGCAGGTTTGTAGGAGATGTAAATACTGAGGAAGACAGCATCAGAATCATGTTTGGATTGTTTGGACTATTTCTTTCCTGCTGCAGGCCATTACACATGTTATTTGCCTGGAATGCTCAATCCCCTCTTCTCCCACAATACATGCACTCTGAATCCGGTTTATCCTTCTGTTTATTCTCTGAGAGAGGCCTTCCTTTATCCTCTAATGTGAAATTATATCCTCTTTTTTGACTACATATGAGAACCCTGCCATCTTGTTTACTCTCTCCTCTGCTGGACTGTAAGCTCTGGCAGCATCATATCTGTTTGGTTCATTTTCATCCCCAGCATCTGGCCCAGTTATGGCACATGGTGCGCAGTCAGTAGATATAATTGAATGGTTAAGGGGTCTGCCTATGTGAGTCTGAGCTGTAGTTTGATTCATGCATGGGTGTTATGAGAGCATGAATTTATAATGATTTTTTAGACTGATACTACATTGTCTATAAGTTATATTTAGAAATGTTTTCAAGATTTTTAATTAAACACCTGTTGCTATAGTTGCTATAGCATGGCTGCTAAGAACACAGGTCCTAGAGTTCAGATTGTGTAGGTTTCAGTGCCCCAAAACTGTATGATATTGGTCACATTATCTAACCATACTTCATTTTCTTTAGCTGTAAAGTGCAACCGAATCCTTCCAGGATTTTTTTTTTTTTTTTTTTTTTTTTTGGTGAGAAATAAGATGTTTGTAAAGCATTCTGTTTACTCCTTGAAACACTTAATAAATTGTAATTACTATTCCCACTATCATTATCAGTTTCATATATATTTTATGTGAGAACAAAAATAGTCCTGTGGGAAGTAATTTGGTCCTGTAGCCTAACAAATCACATTTATTTACTTATTTGTTTGTTTTCTAAATTGAATTTAATTTTTTTTTTGGAGAGAAGGGAAGGGAGGGAGAAGGAAAGGGAGAGAAACATCAATTTGTGAGAGATACATCGATTGGTTGTCTCACAGACCACCAACTGGGGACCTGACCAGGCATGTGCCCTGAATGGGAATCGTACCGATGACCTTTCAGTTCTCAGGCTGGCACTCAGTCCACTGAGCCACACCAGCCAGGGCTATGTTGTTTTTAAAGGGAATTTTTTAATGTTTTATGTAAAATGGCAATCCTTTAAAGACCACAAAGTATCAAAATGTTTTTATTTACATAATAGCTTTTAAGTCTGTAGGGAAACTAATAGTGGCAGCCTGAAAGGCCTAGACAGTCCTCTTTGGAAGGACTACATGTATCTTTTACTAGTGATTAAAAAAAAGCTATTTTAGGTATCAACTTCTCAGAGAAAAATTGGATGACTTAGAGGTGTAAGAGGGACCCAGAAACGCAGCTAAGCTGTGCAGGGAAATGGGGTATATGGCAGGTCCTATTTACTGATTTTTGCAGCAATGGGTACCATAACTGAAATATAAAATCTGCCACTTGTCAGTGTTTAGCCATTATTCCACCATTGCTTAATATTATTTATTAAGCAAATGAGTCAAGAGATCAATTTAACACAGTTACTGGGTATGTGTTATGCCAAACACAGGAAAAAAAAATTCCTACCCTAAAGGGTAGACAGACAAATGTTCATTATACCCCTCCCTAGTCATAGGGCATTTTGAGAAATCTCCTATGTTCAGTCTTTTAAAAATCCTCATCCAAAGTTACGTTTATTGATTTTGGGGGGTGGGGAGTGAATAAAGAGAGAGAGAAAAACATCAATGTGAGAGAGAAACATCAAGGGGTTGCGTCCCACGTGTGCTCTAACTGAGGTGAACTCACAACGTTTTGGTGTATGGGATGACGTTCCAAACAACTGAGCCACCTGGCCAGGACCTCATATATGTAATTTTTGCAGTCACAAAAATCAAACAGTAAAAATAATATGTATAAAAATGAATATCAGTGATACCATAATACATATGTCTTAAACTTGCAGTGATGTGTAAAAATCATTAATTTCCATTTACCATCTCTTGCTTGTTAGAAACTTCTAGATTTCCTTTTTTCCTAAATTTTGATGAGAATATAGTGTATTTATTTTGCTTTATTCCAGATATTGTTTATTAAGGGGCTTATCTTTTTGGTATGTTCCTCTGCGCAAATATTTTACACTATTATGATTTTATGACACAAATTATTGACTGTTATCTCTGCAGTAGCACTGTGTCTCTTGGGATATTTGAAATGGAAAAATTCTAGAAAAATTATTTAACCCAGTTTACTGTAGTAATATTTCTCAAATTCCGCTCCAGTTTCAGAGTTATATACTCTTGATCCAGACTAGAATCAGTATATATTAGTGTGCTTCTGAACCACACAGGTGGGGAGGCTGCATAGCACAGTGGCTTGGTAAGAACTCTGGAGCCAGACTGAATCACGCACGTGAAAGCTGTCAGTTGACTGTCACCTCTCAATCAACGTAGTTCACTCTGCACTCAGA